GCGCAATATGGTTCATGGGGTCACGAAGAGTCGGACATGACTTAACGACTAAACAACAAATTCACTCTTTAATATTTCCTGCAAATCATGAGGAAGCATTACAGGTAGTCCTCATTTAGTGACTGGCAACTCCATTGCTAAGCACCGTGGTCAGTAAGCATAAAATGTGACTTCAGACTTATGTCATTTCCCATTTGGTCGTTAAGTGAATCACCGCAGCAAGATATCACGTGACTGCGATTTGTGATTTTGCTTCTCCATTCTCCATTAACTCTGCTTGTTGGAAGCTGGTTGGGAAGTACACAAATGGCAATCACGTGACCATGTGATGCTGCAACAATCATAAATGTGTGCTGGTTGGGAAGCACCCGATTGGTGATCATATAACTGCAGGATGCTGGGATGGTTGTAAATGAGAGGATTGGTTGCAAAACTGTTTTCTTACACCATTGTAACTTCTAATAGTTGCTAAATGAGGCAGTCGGTAAGCGAGGACTACCTATACCCTGCTTATGTTATTGATAACTGAAATACAGCAACTGGTTTGAAATACAGTGAAGTCTTGATTGAAACTGATTTTGAAATAGTGAAACTTTGATTTAATAGACTGTTCAAGACAGAGAGTGCAGTTAAATCCAAATGTCTGTTAAATCCAAATTTACATTTAAGTTACTTTACTCAGTATGCTTATATTGATGTGAATGACATAAATTACAGAATCATAATGCACAATCTGGAAAGACTTTAGAAGCAATTATTTTGAGGGTGACATTCAAGTACGCATCTGGCCCATTGCATCCAAAGTCTGTTAAACTAAGGCTTCACACTGTAGGCCATTTGTCTGGCAAGCTTAATCTCCAAAGGTGAATTCTTCTACATTACAGAGGCCAAAATGAAAGAGCATCTCAATAGCTTTGGTCCTTCTAATCTCATGGAAGTGGAGGATTACCAATTTTTTTTTCCTGCATTGTTCACATTAGATGGGTTGATTCAGTTTGAATGAAGAGGTCCTGAAGATACCTCTGTTGTGATACTCTTTAATTTCAAGATACCTTCTTTTTTGAGTTGAGCTTGACTCCTGGTAATTCCATGTAATTTTCTTGGCAACAGGATGGAAGATACCTTCCTTTTCTCCATGATGCTTTAAATTGTAACCTCCATTGTGTTGAACTTGAGGAAGAAATGCCCACTTCCTACTCAG